TCCTGTGCGTCGGCCTCCACTCAGAGGGAGGGTGGAGATGGCGGTCAGCCCGGGGGCAAAGCCCGAGCTTTGATGACCTGTCTAAAGCACTGTTCTGACAGAAACTGAAGCCGTTCTTCCCAGACCTGTTTTCCTTTCTGGGTTTCTTTCCAGAGGGCTCACATTGGGAAATGCTTATCGCCCAAGCTGCGAGGAGTAGGGCTGGGTGGGGTTTGTATGTGCCTGTAGTCAGCTTTCTTTGCATTTTCTGAGGGTGTTGCCTGGGAGGGGTTGTAGTGTGTGTGTGTGTGTGTGTGTGTGTGTGTGTGTGTGCAAGCGCACGCGTGCTGATGTCACTGGTGTGGGGCGCAGTTTGGGAATGTCCGATGCCTCACTTGTGGCAATGTCAAAATTGTTCCAGAGTTCTAAATGGTCCAACGATACTGTATATTGGATTGCCTTGAGCTTTGTAAGCTTAAAGGGGCGTCTGGGTGGCTCAGTCAGTTAAGTGTCTGCCTTCAGCTCAGGTCGTGATCCCAGGGTCCTGAGATGTGAACCCCACATCCGGCTCTCTGCTCAGCCAGGAGTCTGCTTCTCCCTCTCCCTCTGTTTTTCCTCTCTGCTCGTGCTCTCTCTCTCAAATAAATAAAATCTTTAAAAAATTTAAAAAAGGGGGGTTAAAATTCGGTCATCTGTATGGCGACGAAAAAAGGGAAAGTGTTATTTAATTTGGTCTCAGAAACGTCTAGTATATGGATCAGCCCACACTGGGGTTACCTCCCGACGGAGCTGTGTTTGGAACAAAAGTCTCCATTGTGGATAGACCAGGACGAATCTGGTTTAGGACTCTGAGGGCCAACTCTAAGGCTTTTAAGGCCATCCTGACCTGTCATGTCTCTTGGGATCAATTTCTCCCTCTTATTTGGTTAAAGTTTGATCCCAAAAAGGGGAAAGAAAATAAAACTCTACTGCTGATAGTAACTAATATTTCTTGAGCACTGATTACGTGCAGAACATCGTGCTTTTCAGACATTACCTCGTCTCCCCATAAAACAGCTCTGTGAATAGGTGCCCTGTTTTGCTGATGAGGAAACTGGTATTTAAAGAGGTTGACTGACTTGCCCAGGGTCACACGGCTACCAAGCGACAGAGGTGGAATTCAAAATCAGAAACGCCTGACTACAGGGCTGTGCTCGTAATGAGACATCCCCACCGAGGTCACGTTGATTACTCGTACTCCCTGCTTTTGCTTTCATTTTTTCCTTCCCTTCATTTCTCAAGGCGGCTGTGTGCAAAGGGCTGTGTACTTTTTCTACCGCAGATCACCTTCTGCCTGTGGCTTCTCTTCCTCTATCAAGTCTTCACACTGAGAAAGGACATGCTGCCTGCTTCAGTTCCGTGTGACTCCGCGCTCATGGGTTTCCTTTTCTGGGCAAGGGTGTTCACCGTCTCAGTCTTCTAAGTCTTGGCCATGTTCCACATCAAAGGCAGTATAATGTCGTAAGTGAACACCCAAGGCTGTGAAAACCACTCACCCAGGTTCAAGTTCTGGGTCTGTCATTCAATAACTCTGTGATGTGAGCAAGTTAGTCGACCTTTATAAATGTAAAACCGGGATAATGAGCGACCTCCAGGTCTGTTCACTGAAGCTACAGATGTTGATTGAAGACCGTGCCAGGTCCTGGAGATCCAGGGTTGTGCGGTTTAAATGAAATGATATGTGTGAAGTTCTTGGCACGGGACCAGAAGACAGCAAAGACTCAATAATAAAGTAGTCATAAATACTAGGACAAAAGGCACTTTCTCTAATAACCATCACTGGGCAGGAGACACGGGAATGAGGTGTTTCCTGAACAGGGTTTTTCTGATGAGGGGAACTCTTGCAAGGATCTTGTATAATGGAGTACCTTCTTCCCTGGGGTGAGGCCAGCCCCAAATTTTAAGTAATAGCCATAGTCAACCTTCCTGAACACTTAACACGCACTTTACATGCATTAACTCATGTATTCCTTACAGTAACCCCCTGAAGTGGGTTGTATTATAGCCTCATTTTATAGAGAAGGAAATGGAGGCCCAGAGAGGTTAAGTAACTTGCCTGAGGCCCCACAGCTAATGAATGGCAGGGCGGGGATCTGAACCAGCTAGTCTTGACTCTAAAGCCTGTGAGCTCACGGCGTCTTTAAACTCACCACACGGAATTTGCCTTGATTTCTCTATCTCCTGTCTCTGTAGCCAGCCGTGAACAGCTCCAGAAAGAGACACATTCAGGTAGGGGATGTTTAGAAAAGTGTTTCGGGGGTTAGTATTCTGGGAGCCTAATTTGGAGACCCCCTTTCCCAGGGTTTTCTCGGGGATGCTTCACTGATCCCCACCCCCCTTTACGCCTCTCTGCACTGTGCCTCTCTGACCTCACCCAAGACCACAGCAGGCCATAGGTCTGGAAGAGCAGCGCTTGTGGAACTGGGAGTGGTGGTTGCTGGCTGGGGCAGTCATGAGGGAGGTGGGGCAGCCATTCCTGCGGCCACGGGGAAGGCACCCCTTCAGCACAGCCTCTGCTTCTCCGCGGTCTCGCACGGGCTGCCTTGGGATTGAGTGATGCCTGGTCTATCCACCTTACCCTTCATCCTCCTGCTGCCCAAGATCCGCCACAGCACCCCCAGCAGGAGCCACCCCAGTGACATTTGCAGCGTGACATGGCCTTGCTCAGAGGGGCCCCATGCTTGGTTCAAGGCCCTGCTGTCCCCATCTTTAAATTCTTCATAAGATTCTGAACCAGGGGCTCCCCATTCTGATTTTGCAATGGGCCTTGCAAGTTGGATAGCTGGTCCTGCTCAGACCTCACTAAGGCCCCAGGAAACCTCCCCAGCACGAGAATCTGAAGGAGACCACAGGGGAACACGGAGGAGACCCCAGGAAGGCAGGAGTCTTTTAATCTCAGCTTGTGTTCACTGGGTCAAAGCACGCTTGTGGGCTGTAGGAAGCCAGAGAATGGATCCGCGCGTTGCTTTGGGTGATGTGAACCGAGCGCGTTGCAATCAGTTTTGCAGTTACTCTCGAACATAAACCTAACACCCTCTGAACGTGCCATTTCTTACTGGGAGGACCGCTGGAGAGGAGAGTCCACCCAGCGGAAGCTCAGAAGGGGACCTAGTCTCTCTGCTCCTTAAGGTCTCTCCCACTGGCCTGCAAGCAAGAAGCCCCACCTGCACTAAGTCCTTCCTTCCATCCTGCCCAAGAACCAGGGCCCTGCTCAAGGGTGCACGTGGTTTCTCCCTTCTCAAGAGCTTGCAGCCTCAGTCAGAGGCCCTGCCTCCCTTCTCCCATCTCCTTCCAGATTTCCAGCCCCCCTTTCCTATCAGCGCTGTCCTCAGGCTGCAAATGGAGGGTGCTTGTGGTGCGGCTGCATTGCAAATTCTCTCCTTTCCCGTCTGGCCTTGCTCTGATGCTGCCTATCTCTCACCAGCCTCCCTTTCCCTCCTCCTCTCCTGCTCTCTGGCTTCCATCCGCTCAACTGTTAAAACTGTGATTTCCAAGATGACCCATCAAGGTTTAGAGTTTCATTGGCCTTGACCTTGTGCAGGGTGGGCCACAGTATGATTTCGGGGGGCCCTGAGGCAACTGTAGCCTCGGGAGCCCTCCCTCCATAAAGAAATACTAAAAATTGTATTTTAAGACTATGTTGTTATAAAGATAAGTATAATCCAGCCTGGATTGTATTCATTTTTTAATTATTTTAAAAATGCACTAAAACGTTTTCATGGGTCCCTAAAGTATTCATGGGCCCTAGGTTCTGTGCCTGCTGAGACTAATGGGGAAATCAGTCCCGTGTTGTAGAGCTGGGTAGAGAGTAATGAAGCCTTCTTGAAACCTTTTTTTTTTCTGGGAAGCCATACTACCTTTCTTTTCTTTCTTTTTTTTCTTTCTTTTTTTTTTTTTTTTTGTCATTGTTCCTTTTATTGGGAAAACAATAGAGTTACAAAGATAATTTTAAGGAGGAAAATCTCACTCAATCCCGTATCCTAATGGCACTCTTCGTGATTCACTTCCTTGTCCAGATGGAAAGCTATTTTACACAGCTGACTGCTGCGTTTGTGCAGTTTTCCATTTTGTTTGTCCCATTTAATATCACTTTGTTGAGGGCACCTTCTGTTTGTCTGCAGTAGTCTTCACAACCATCCACTGACTTATGGTGATTGACTTACTTTTCCCCTCTGTTGGTTTCCTGTTCTTTCTCGACTCTGCTTTCTCTGGACTTTTTTTAGCATTTCTTCCCCCTTCTGTGGGTTTCATCTGAGCCATCTGGTCATTCGGAAGAGCATTTCCCCTCCCCCCAGGTAGTCTCATTCATGGCTTCGACTCACAGGGCCCAGGAAAACGGGCTTTGCGGACCGTTCTTCTCAATGGCAATCACCGTCCACAGTCTACCCATGTGACCCGCCCGACCCCTTCCACAGCAAGCGGCGTTCTCTGGAGAACCAACTAGGCCATGGGGCGTGGTTTTGTTAAACTCTATGGTCTAGTAAGGGGTCAGGGTGTCAGAGCCTGCAGCTACCTCAGAGACGACCCAGCCCAACTTCAGTATTTTACAGACAAGGAGACCGAGGCACAACGAGGTTCCTAGACTTGCTCCTGGTTAAGCAACTAGTGACCAGGGATTTGACACTTTGTTCCTCGACCTCCTTCCTCAAAAGCACGCTTCCTGGAATTGTTGAGAGGGTCTTTAATTTATATCATGGTACCATCAGAAAGTGAATTTATATGATGGAATTATATTTACACTTTGGCTGCCCATTTTATCAGAACAGTGTCTAATGGGAGGAGAAAGAAAGGCTCCACAACAAAGTTTTATAAAGTGAAGCCCATAGTCTGACGTCATCGGGATCATGCCAAGAGGAGTACCTAAGTGATTCATGTTCTATCCGGTGGTAACTTCCCCTGTTCTGTTAAAGTTCGCTTTGTTTCTGTGGTCTGCTGAATCACTTACTGCTAAGGTTGTCAACAGTCAAATCAATTAAACTTACCTGTTCAGAGATAATGAGCAGACCAGTCTTTGTCCCAAAATAACCAGGCCAACACTGGTGCTAGCAACCTGCAGACAACAAAAGCGTTCGTTACTAAGGGGAATGAGTCTGTCTATTTTGGCCGCAAATACAATTTCTTATACTGGAAATATCAGAAGCTCCACTTTCCCTCTTATTGCTAGAGATACTGGAAAGAAGCAGATCTGAAAATGCTCTCTTGTGGGCAGGGAAACTAACTATAAAGACTTTTTAAGAATCTCCCTTAAATTACTCTATTTTTTCCTTATGTCTCTTCTCCATGTACTGTGTGTGCGTGTATGTGTACGTGTGTGTGTGTGTGTGTGACATTTCGTGTAGAATCACTGTATTTGTCCCTTTCCATTGGGTTGTGTTTGGCCTCCATCTGCTCAAATAACCTTGAATTCCACTGACTTATTTTGGGGAAAAACAAAAGAAAGTCAGCGATCAATGTAACTGCAGCTGAGGGAAGGGCACGTAGGGAGTGGGGGAGGGGGGGAGCTGTTTTACCATGAGGGGGTATGAGACCAGCCCCCCCACTGCCCCCACCCTGTCCCACCCCTGTCCTCACCAACTGACGAGTCAGACCTCACACCCCCAGACACCGAGCAGAGCACTGCTGGTCAGTGGCCCACTGTGGGAACGGAACGCGTCTCCCCAGGCCGCCCTCCTGCCCCCACAGGCCTTACAAAGTCCATGGACACGATGGTTTCCACGGTTGAGTTCTCGCTCTGGGCGAGGAGCACGATGGAGGCAGGGATGTCCAGGGTGAAGTTGCCCGGCTGCAGCCTGACTGCAGGAGGCTCCGTTGCCATGACCCGTACCATGAAGGGCTGGGACAGGATGTAGATCTCTGCGATCTGCAAAGTTCAAGGAAAGAAGTGGAGACCGGGGAGCTGAGGTGATGGGAAATCACACGTTTGGGGTGGCCTGGGTGAGTAAACTTTACGTCATGCAGTCAGAATAGAAACAAAGCTCTTCGGCAATTATACCACCACTGTACACAAGACAAATAATAACAACGGCTGACATTCACTGAGCTTATCTGAATTGTCTGGTTTAATCTTCACAAAATCCCTGTGGGCGGGTTCTATCAGAATCCCCATTTCACAGCTGAAGACAGTGAGCCTCTGGTTAAATAATTTCCTTCACTTCCAGATGGATACATTAAAGAACAGGGATTCAAATCTAAGTGTGTCTCCAGGTCCTTGCTCTAGAATCAGGAAGCTCGGTGAGCATCTCTCTGTCCTCAAGAGCAAACCTGAGCCTTTCAGAACACTGTGTCCAATATTCAGGGGCTGAGAAGGCATGACATTAAGAGTTGCTACACTAAAGGCACAGACATGGGCACTATTCCCCCATTTCCCACCGAAGCTTATTAATTCAAATGTGTGGTGGAAACTTAGGGGAGGGACCGTTGATTTGTTTTGTAAACTTATGATGCCTTTAACAGTAACTTGTTTAGTAAATATCTGTGGCTATTTTATTAAAAGAAAAAAAAATCTGAGGGCCCCCAGGTGCAGAGCTAGTCAGACATCTGACTCTTGGTTTTGGCTCAGGTTGAGATCTCAGGGTGGTGAGGTCAAGCCCTGCATCGGGCTGGCTCTCATCGCCAAGTCTGCTTAAGACTCTCCCTCTGCCCTTCCCCTGCCGCTTATGCTCACTCTCTCTAAAATAAATAAATCTTACCGAAAAAAGAAAAAAAAATCTCTTCAGAATGGAAAGATGGACTCAGGTTTGGACCGAAAAGGAATAGAGAGAGCCCACAAATCTTCCAGAAGTAACTGCCGTGAATCCAGATACACTACCAAGGAGTCAGACCCTCAGTACTCACCCGGGAGAGCACATTGCCAAGGCCTTGAGAGTTTTGAACCAAATGGTTGGAAATCTGGAAAATCAAGATCATCGTGTTACTGTAAGATTTTTGCCTGGGTTCTCTTTTCAGGGGAAAACCTAGCTTTCCTTATATTTTTATGAATCATGAAGTTGTTACATCAATAAACAATTAGTGTTTAATAGTGGCCTATCATTTAATAGTCCAGCCATAGGAAGTCTGAGGCTCAAAGAAGTGAAGTCACTTGCCCAAGGTCACACAGGAAGTACCTTCCTTTTCAGTAAGTGCCTTTTAACTTTGGCAACACTGTGTAGGGCACACACGTACGATCCATGCATAACCATCCTACAGTGGTTAACAAGAACCCTTGGATATATTGCCCACCTCTTCAGAGGTTGCTGAGACAAAGGATACTTAAGTCATTTATCTTCACAAATGAATGTTTTCCAAATCTGAAGCTAGGTTTCTCTAATTCTCGGCAGTCTGTGGTCACTGGTGCTGCCATACCTGGTATTTTGAACCCAAGTTTTAGAACCATTTGTATAATTAAGACCCATGGAATGAAAAGATTAATAGGGGATGCTTAATAAAAGTTGTTGGTTGGCTGAAGAGAATGTTCTCATCATGAAAGGGAGGGGCATGGCAAAGAGAATCCACGAGTATGTGTCCTCTTAGTGGTCATTGTAGATAACTCAGTTGCAATTACCAACAGGAGAAATATTGGTGCTGGCATTAAACCAGGCAGGGTGATGATGATGATGGTAAGCAACACATTAAGAATACTTCCTCCGTGCTAGGCATGAATGCTTTCCATATATTTAAACCTCTCTAATGTCCATATCAACCTTATGAGTATGGAATTATTATTCCCATTTTCTAAATGATGACACTCTGGCACAGAGAAGTTAAATACATTGAAGATGCCCAAATTTACAGGTCATAAGTGGTGGAGGGGAGTCCTGGCATTATTTAAGATTAATCTAGAACAGTGGCCTGGTATCCTACACAACTGAAATTAGCAGACTTAGAAACCCAACAATTCCCAAGATACTAAAAGCTTTCAGTTCACAATCCCTTTATTCATGACCTGCTAGGGTTGATAGTCTAAGAGAGCCCAGGAGATAGAAACCGTGACATAAATTCCCATAATGGGCTACTTATAATAAGATGAAACGCTGGTGCTGATTGTTCTATCCATGAACTCTCCTTACCTCTTTCATGGATAGAGTGACATTGAAGGCCCCAGCTGTAAAGTAGGCAAAGGATGCAGATTTGAAGAAAAACTCGGAGATTCCAATATAGAGCATAGAGTCATGGCGTTCTGGCAGCGCAAAAGGAACTGGCGAGAAGGGGGGGTCACTGAGGTTGTCCAGGGGGTAGAATACGCCCTGTGGGAAAACAGAGAGAAAGATCAGGGTATCAGGTCAAGACTCGGGTGTACAGCACTGAGAAGGTGGATCTGTTCATTCAGAATCAGAAAAATACCAGAAACTCAGTAGGGGTTAAAACACAACAGGGCCTTCTGACTCCTTGACCAGTGACGATGGTCTGGCAGCTCTGATGAGTTCTTGAGTGTATGCGGACGTGTCTGTCCACTCTGGGGTGTAACCTTCTCTCAGAAGGCAGGTGTATTTTACCTGGACACACAGCTCTGCATAGTTCCTGAGGGGCATGTAGAGATGCCAAACCCTTGACCTTTGAACTCTGTGGCTGCTGAGCCTCTGGGGTGGCACAGAAAGCCTCAGAAGGACTAGGGACTCTCAGTCGGTTAAAGCATTTCCCACGCATTCCTGATGCTGCCCTCAGTGGCTATAGGATGTTATTACAAGATGTCTTGAGTAACATTTAACTGATTTGAAAGACTCTAAGTGATTGAAATATAAGTCAGGGACGCCTGGGTGGCTCAGTTGGTTAAGTGTCTGCCTTTGGCTCAGGTTATGACCCCAGAGTCCTGGGATTGAGCCCCACATCCATCTGGGCTCCCTGCTCAGCAGAGTCTGCTTCTCCATCTCCACCCCCCTTCCCCCAGCTCATGCTCGCTGTCTTTCTCTAATAAATAAATAAATAAAATCTTTTTTAAAAAAAGATTTGACAGAGAGAGAACAGCAGGGGGAGCAGCAGGCAGAGGGGGAGGGAGAAGGAGGCTTCCCACTGAGCAGGGAACCTGATGTGGGGCTGGATCCCAGGACCTCAGGATCATGACCTGGGCCAAAAGCAAATGCTTAATAACTGAGCTACCCAGGAGCCCCTAAATAAATAAAATCTTGAAAAAAAAAAAAAGAAATATAAGTCAATATGCACTTCAAAAAAAAAAAAAAAAAACCCACGGTTACTAACCATGGGGCAAAACTAAACGTAAAGACAATCTCTTTTCCAGAATCAGCAAATACCATTTTAATGTGCAAACAGCCCTGACCAAGGTCAAGAGGTCAATAGCCCTCAGTTAAACTGGCTGACCAGACAGGAACAGGAGTGTCCGTATGAACAATCTGCTGATGGGTTGAGTTCTAATACATGTAGAGCCCCTCTTCCTGCTGCCTCTTAGCCTCAGACCTGACCCCACAGACATAGTCATCATGATACTTTCCTTGAGGAGGCAGTCGTACGTTGGGCAAATCCAAACCATTATTTACCAATCAAGAAACTGCTGAAGGGTCTTTCGAAAGAACACAAGCATGAGGGAATTGCTTGAAAGGATATTAAATTATTTAAAGGGTATTTAGTGATATTTCCTTCTGCATAGAATATTTGCTCTTCGAATACTGGCTGTTGATAGCCAGGATGAGAATTTGGTGACGATAAAGTTACCTTCAAATTCAGCTCCATGTAATTCTCAGTTATCTCTGGAGAATGGATTAGGGAGTAGTCCAGGAGAGTATAGTTGTCAATCTTGGTTAAAACTAAATAACAAATAAAAATGAAAATTCATATTTATTAAAGGTATAGTATAGCATCTGACTATTATCTATGCAGAGCAATATAATTTTAATTCTGTTATTTAAAATAATAATTATTCTTATTTCGTAAGTAATACATGCTCACTTTTCAAAACCTGGGATAAGTAGGTAAGTCAAAAGAAGAAAGTAAGCCCCCCCTTTTTTTTTTTAAAGATTTTATTTATTTATTTGACAGAGATCACAAGTAGGCAGAGAGGCGGAATCATGACCCAAGCTGAAGGCAGAGGCTTAACCCACTGAGCCACCCAGGCGCCCCAATTCATTCTTTGTATCATCATTTTTAGAGCACAGCAGGAGGCTAGGGGCCGCAGGAGGCATGATTTCAGAGTCTGAGGCAGGTTGTATGCTCAGGAGTGCAGTGCTTGGGAGTCTGACCCGGCCTGGGAGAGCAGCTTTCCTGGCCAGCACCGCGTGCTCTGTGATATGAAGACCTCCCCCTGATCTAGAGCAAAACATCTGAGTAGCACACCTTCTCCTCTTGCATACCAGGCTGCTTTATTCCACAGAGGGTGGTAAGCAACCAGAAGAGACAAAGGGACTTGCCAAGGTGAGGGAACAGTACTGCCCCATGTCACTATCATTTTTAAAATGCTTTCAAATTCAGTCTGAACAATCCCATCACATGCTGTGAGGGGAGCAGGACCTGCCCATTTTAAATGATAATGAGGAGTGGACGGGACAAGGGATGGTACAGGGGTAAGAAGCAGAAGGGACTGGACCCCTCAGGGTTTAACGCAGTGCTGGTAAAGAAATAGGAATTCAATATACATCTATTTGAATAAATGTGGGGGGAGGGGAAGCTCTGCTAGGCAGGGAGGGCAGCATGAGCCCAGCAAGGGGCGTGGGGGCAGTAGAAGCAGTTTGATGGCTGGAGCAGAGAAAGGGACAAGATGAGGCTGAGAGGGGTGGGCTGAGCCCGAGCATGGGGGGCAGGTCTTGTAGTCCATGTGAAAGCGTTTGGACTTGATCCTGAGGCAGCAAGCAGCCACCGAAGGGGCTAGAACAGGGGGAGGAAGGGGCTAACTTGGTTGAGATTAGCATGAATCATCCTGAAGAGGATGGATTTCGTGTGAGAGCGGGCATTTCCCGTGGCTCTAGTTTGCAGAGGGTAAAGCAGGTAGGAGAGCGGCCTATCTTACGTTGAAAAGCCAGCCGGCAGAGCACCAGAGTCTGAAGGCGGGAAGAGGACTGTCCTGAAGAGGCAGCCCGAGGACTCACCCTCCAGCATGCTGAGGTTGGTGTTCAGGGCTCCCACCTCACTCATGATAATGGGACAGAGCTGGCCATAAAAGGAATAAAAAAATTGCAGGTTACCACATCGCACTATTTAGGGGTCTAGACTCTGCCAGCCAAGTCCTTCTGGTTAGGAGCCATTCTTCCTTTGGCCACCAGGACCTTCCCTCAAATTCACTGATGCCTATGGACCCCACACTCTGTGTGTATGTGTGGCATGTCATGGAATGCGGGCTAAACTTGGGAGCAACTGGGACCACACCCAGTCAGCCCCGTGAAAGAATGAGCCCCTGGATTCTCTTTCTCGTACGGTCACCCCTGAGGACCTGCTGGTGGGACTTTCCCGGCTGTGGGGATGCCACTGCCTCTGGGCGCAAGCTGGGGCCCTCACTGTCCCACTCGGCTGGCTTGAGAGCCCAGTTGTGAGACATCTGTTAGATCAGAACCCCTTTTGGAGTTAGAAAAGCGATCTTGACTTGGACTCGAGCTTGTCTCTAGGAAGGAGGAAGAGTGCCAACATGGGTGGGCCACCGTGTGCCAGGCGTGTGCTAAGCACTCAGTGTGGCAGTTACTAGCAGAGGCTTGGGAGCCTGGCCGCCTCGGGTTGACTCCCTTGGCACGCGATTTGTAGTCTGTTTTTAGTTTACTCACTTGCAACACGGGGACGATAATTGTACCTACTTCGTCATGAGTTGTGAGCAGAAACAGAAGTAATCCATGTACGGCCGCCCGGCACACAGCAAGCACTCAGTAAATGTCAGCTGTGCTGCTTGAACCCCATTTTGGCCTCATGGCAGTGCTGAGAGGTGGGCACCACGGTCCGCCCTTCACAGATGGGAACAACGATGTCTGGAGAGCTTTCGTGGGTTGCCAGGGGTTACATAACTGGGACTTGGAATCCAGCTAGCTGTGGTCTGAGCACTCTTTTCTGTTTGCCCATGGCACAGAGGGACTACCGGAAGCAAAGCACCCATGGCTCTAAGGCCTGCACACACTCCAGGCAAACTTAGCTAGTGGCTTCTTGTCTGAGGCCAGAGAACCACACCTGGTTTCCAGCAGAGGAGCGATGGCAAGTGTGGGGTCCCCAAGCCGACAGGGCTTTCCCTGTCACTCTCTGGCATGCCCGTTCCCTGGTGCTTAGCACCTGCCAGGTGAGCCTGGAGAAAGCCCGGGCAACCTCGGAGTGCCCCGACCAGCTGGGCAAGCTCCTTGGACAAGCTGCCAAATGCATTTGCACGTTGATTTCCTCACTGACATTTATCAAGCACCTACTGTCTGCCAGGGAGGAGGGGATGGAGGCTTCCAGATACTGGTTCCATCCTCTCATTTCCCATCCTCCTTCATCCTTCTCCTCGTCTGCCCCCAAATATGGGTAAAGCGTCCAGAAATGGTCTGGTCTGGACTGGAAGGAGGGCACACAGCCAATTCCATCTCTCCCCTTCCTCAAACACCATGTTCTGGAATCGAGACACTTGTAACTTTGGAAGTTATCTTAACCGATACTGTTTCTTGGAAACATCCTTTCTTCTCTCCCATTCCTTACCTGTCAAAATTGTACTTACTCTTCAAGGCCCAGTTCAAGTCCTGCATCCTCTAAAAACTATCCCCTAGGAGACTTTCAGTCCCTTTTGACTGAATCTTTCCACTTCCCTGAACCCCTCTGGTTCAGTCTAATGATCATGTAATTACGTATTAAATTCAAATACTCATTTAGTCACTGTTCCACAAGCCTGAGTTGGGTTTACCTAAAAACATAATAAATTTATTCCTATTTTATATCCCCAACAGCCTGTAGCCTCGTGCTGGGCACACAGTTGGTGTGCAATAAATAAACGCCTGTGGGTTGTTTGCCCATCCTGTGCTGAGCACTCGAGGGAGGGAATACTGTTTCATTCAACCCTGCGTCCCCAGCACCTACCACACTGGCCCATGGTGGGCACTGGCGAAACATAGTAAGGTGCAAGGGATTAATGTGTCAGAAAGTGCCTTGGATGATGCCTGGCATACAACAGGTGCTCAATAAAGGTTTATTCACTAAGAATTAGGTAAAACATGGCAGAACTGCTGAGCATTTTACTGTGGTAGCATTACCTCTAAAGACTTACCATTTCATTTAAGTTCTTTAAAATGGGTTTCTCCATGGGTTCAGCAAAGGAGTTGTACAGGACACTGGGGAGAAAAGAGAAAAAAACGGGCTTATTCAGGAACCGAATCTGCCGGTGGTGAACCTCCTCAGGCCCCGCCTGGTAATCCGCTTCCAGACCAGCAACTGCCCAGCATGATGCTATCGCTCACCTGAGTTCTCCGGAAAATGACACGTGGGCGTGGCTCACTTGGGCGTAACAGTCTTGGAGCTTCATGATTGGGTGACCAAAGTCGTTGCGGGCCAGGACAATGATACCGGTGAAGAAGACGCCAGAGAGAAACAGATCAGCTCCTCCTGTGTCTTGGCTGTTGAGAGAAAGTGCAAGGTTACCCAGGGCTGGGCAGGGGTGAGATGGGTCATTTCTCTGACTCCCCGCAGCCTCTAAGCTCCTGGAGGGAAGGATCTTTTTCACCAAGAACAGGTAGGAGCAGAGTAGGGGCTGAGCGTTTACCAAACAAAGGAAGTAATGAATATGGGGATGGGGACAGCTTTAGCTTAGCATTATATCCTGGGTGCTCTGGCCCCCACAGTGGCCAAGCACGTATTAAGCACCATTCATGTACAATGCTTGTGTGGACAGAGAACATGGGGTAGGCTTATTTAGGATGAGCACAGATGGGGACGGGACACTAGATGCAGTCTGTGAACTCTTTGAGGGACTGGAGTGTGTGCTATTCATGTCCACACCCCCAGGAGGAGCACAGAGCATAAGCACTTTAATATGTGGCTGATGAGTCAGCAAAGAAATGAATGAATCCCTGGATCTATGTTACTTATGGAAGAATAAATATACCATTTCTTTACAGTGTACAAGTATAGAGTTCTTGAGATGGGAATAAATGGTCCTTGGTTGGCACTCGATAAATGGTTGTTGAATGACCAAGTGGATGAGTAGATGCGCTTTCTGGGGAACTAACAGGGGTAGACCTAAACATTACCCCATGACCGTGACTTCCACGCAGTAATTGGTCTTTGAGTATGACTTGAATTTGATCCCTCCTTTCTCTGAGAGTGCACAAAGGCCTTTTGGTGGGGAGAGAATTGGGCTCCCGATGACTATTATCCTCTAATCTCCTTGTGAGGTAGGAAGGCCCATTTCCCATCAGGATGGGGAAGTGTGTGGAATGGCCCAAGAACACACAGTGACTCAGTGAAGGTCTAAAATGTTGAGCGCATGTCCGTTGCTCCAACGGTCAGGGACTCCCAGCTCTTAGGAAGTCTTAAATGACACTTTGCTCTGCCTTTAAGGGAAAGATGCTTCTCAGCCTCCCACTCTCCCCTGCCCAGCCCCCAGCAGAGATATCCTGATTTAAATCTCTCCTGGAAAATGGTGCTCTTGAGAAAGACTGTTAGTGGCAGAGGGAAAGAAGCCCAATGTCAAAAACACCAGCTAAATTATGTACTTTCAATTTCGTTCCATTTCTCTCTAGAACAGCCACAGCAGCTTTGAGAGGAATACTTACAAGAGCGGAGACTTGACTTCCCAGTCGGTGCTGATGTTGGCGGTACCGTGGTTGGTCAGGGCCTTGATTCCCACCCCAGGCACAAAGGCTAATGAAGTATTTGGAAATGAGAAGGCATGGATTTTTATGCTGCAAAACAAAAACAGAGAGGTTAGCCCATGTCTTCTAGTGCATCTCTAAGTAAGGCAAAATCATAGAGGAGGTTTGTGGAACTCCCAAAAGCAATCATGAATTCCTATGGAGGAAGGAACTTCAGGTAGGAGGAGCTGTCTCTGGGCACTGCCTTCTTCTTCTTCTTTTTTAAATTAATTAATTATTTTTTTAAAAAAGATTTTTATTTATTTATTTGACAGAGAGAGATCACAAGCAGACAGAGAGGCAGGCAGAGAGAGAGGAAAGGAAGCAGGCTCCCTGCTGAGCAAGGAGCCTGATGTGGGACTCAATCCCAGGACCCCGGGATCACGACCTGAGCCGAAGGCAAAGGCTTAACCCACTGAGCCACCCAGGTGCCCCTTCTTCTTTTTTTTCTGAACTCATAACCCTAAGATCAAGAGTCAGATGCTTAACTGACTGAGCCCCCCAGGCACCTCTGGGCACTGCCTTCTAATTCCCCTTTAACACTTGCCAAGAAGTGCCTGGTGTCTAATTGAGGGGGAAATGAGCAAGTATAGAAACAAATTTGAAAATAATCATTTTTTTTTAGCTTCATTAAGGACAGTATGAGGTACAACATTGCCATCATGGTTTTACCCTTCAGCTGCTCCAGTGTTTCTCGGTGAGGGGGTATATTATTTTGGATGGGACAACTATTTGGTATAGAGGACTGTTATACACATCTCAGGGTACCGGGCTTATTTGCCAACTAAATGCCACCAGAGCCCCTCCCCCCCATCATGGGACAATCACAAGGGCGCTTTCCCTATTCCCAGATGTCCTCTATGTGGACAGTATCTTCCCTGGTTTAGAAACTTAGAGTTTTACTTCCCCTAGGACTGTCTGAGCTGTCAATGGTAGGCAGGAGGCAATGGGCTGCATGGAATCTGTATAGGTAGGCAGCTCATGTGCTAAGTGATTGCTCCCTGCCAGGCACTGCGGTAAGAACTTTACATGCATTAGCTCATTTTAATCCCCACAATAATCCCATGAAGTTGTTGCTGGTTTTGCAATCTGCAATCCAGAGATGAGAAGATAAGGAACGTGGCTGAAGTCATATATAAGTGGTAGAACCAGACCTGGAGCCCTCCTCCATCTGTCTCAGATGGTTTCTAGCCAGTAGGCTATGCCACTTCACGTATTATGCAAGGGGCCCTTGACTTGGAGCTGAGTTTTGTGCTAACCGTGCAACCCTGGGTAAGACACTAATCTCTTTCAGTTAGTCACCCAGAGGAAGGGTTACTCATGGGTACGTCGAGAAGACAAAATGAGATCATCTGCTTATAACTGTGGTATGGGAGGAAGGCATCCTTATGAACTAAGATTAAGAAAAACGTAAAACATAAATGGGATAGCTGATAACAAATGCTTATTTACTATTTCTTCTACTTTGCATCCTTTCCCACATGTCTTTGTCATACACTCTGAGTCCACTATGGGGAGAAGATGGTAGACGTTCATTTAACAGATCTTGGAAATATTTTCAGTTTGATACGTATAGGTCTAATGCATTCTTTGTAGTCAAGCTATGGATATATCATTAAAGAAAATAATTTATTTTTGCTGGACATCTAGGTCATTTCCAGCTATTTCTGTGTTATAAACAATGCCATACTGAACATCCTCAAACATGCTGTTCATGTGTGTGTTTTTCTAGTAAGGATGCTGAGAAGTGGGATTGGTAGGTCGAAGGGCATGCATTAAAAAAAAAGTCCTTGTAAATAGCTCTAATAGAAATGGTATATGAGCCACATATATAATTAAAAATCTAGTAACCACATTTAAAAAAGGGAAAAAAACAGGTGAGAGTGATTTTATTAATATTTTTTACTTAACCCAATATATCTAAAATAGTATCATTTCAACACATAATCAATATAAAAATTATTGATGGGATATTTTGTTTTCTCTTTTTCAAAATAAGTCTTCAACATATGGTCTTTTTTTTTTTTTTTTTTACATTCATAATATGACTCAGTCTGGACATTGAATTTCATCAGAAATCCTTGCCCTATATTTGGATTGGATAAAATTGTCAACCGAAGAAGTGCATTTCCATACTCAAATTGTTCCATGCATACCTAAAAGCTTTTCAATAATTGACTTGAGTACCATTTTTTATTTTTAAATTAATTAAAATTAAATAAGTAAAGCTTCACTGCCTCAGTTGCACTACTCCCATTTCCAATGCCCAGTAGTCACATGCCCAGTGGCTCCTGTGTGGGCAGCACAGGTCAAAGAGTATTGTACGAGTTTCTCTACTCTCATTAGCAATCTTCACCTACACATCATAATACATGTTTAACTCTGGATTTTTCTGCTGGGGCATTATCGTCACTGTAACTAAATAATTCATTTTGTAAACATATTATGTCCATCTCTCTTATTGGACATTAAGGGCAGGGGATATCTGTGTTCCTCACTACAATATCCCCTATGCTTAAAACAAAGCCTTGGTACCTAGTAGGTACTCAATAAATACTTGTTGAATGGCTGCCTCTATTAGCAACTAGAGCATTTGCTAGGCGCTTTTCCTAGATCACATTCTTCTCCCCATCCCCCCAACCCTTCCAAAAAACTCATGGTTTTATAGAATGTTAACCTTGATAACAGGGAAAGTATTACTCCAAAGGGTTAGAGCAGCAGGGAATTATCACTGGATTGATAAAGCCTTGGGGGCAAATTGTGAATCACAGATAATTCCTTATAAAATCCTGACTCTGCTTTACCTTCAAGATTGAGCTGAAACTGACAATGATGTTCTCTCCCTGAATCGTGCTTTGGGGCTTTTGTTGGCAACTACGACTGCCAACTGCTATCTGAACATCCATTCCTCCTCCTTCTGAATCCCTGAATTTGTTCAGGATGACAAAGATATCTGCTTGGAAAATGAATTTTCCAGTCTCTCTGGCTAATACTAATAAGTATGGTCATAAGACTAAGTAAAATCCGTCCATTATTGAGTCCTCTTATTTCTTCTTGGGACTGGAATATGGGTTTGATGGCTGAGCTGCAGTGGCCATACTGAGCCATGAGACAAACGTGAGGACAGAAGCCAGAACTGAGGGTGGTGGGGCAGAGAAATACAAAAAGGCTGGGTTCAGATAAAATTGTGGGGCTTCCATAGGATCCCTCTATCCTTTCTTTTTCTTCTTTTTTTTTTTTAATGTAGGGCTGAGATCAAGACCTGAGTGGAGATCAAGAGTCAGACACTTAACCGAATGAACCACCCTCTACTCTTTCTTTCGACCTCCTTATTTGTGGCCCATTTCTATAACCTCTGATATCTCAACTACACATCGCTAAAGTAAGGGAAGCCTTGCTGAGGGTAGATTTGGTTTTGAGACTGTGACTGAATCCTGTATCTAGGTTTAAGGGGTGGAGGCAGCAACGGGTTGGGTAAAAATTTCTCTTCTTATTCAAGGGGCAAGGAGTTCTCCTTTTAGGAAAGAGGCAAGGAAATCGAGACTCTGAGCAGATTCACCAGGTGCCACAACTAGTGTGCAGTAGGGGTAGGACTTGGACACAGGTGTTCTGACCCCAATCCTCCACTCTTTGTCAGCTTTGTGACCCCTCTTTCTCAAGGTCACTCACCTGATAAGCCCCTTACCAAAGATGGGTTAAATTCTACACTGCACATCCCTGGTGTTACACCAGAACACCGAGCAGGCATAGCCACAACCTGAAGGTTTTTTTTTTTTTTTTTAAAGATTTCATCCATTTATTTGACAGACAGAGATCACAAGTAAGCAGAGAGGCAGGCAGAGAGAGAGGTGGAAGCAGGCTCCCCGCTGAGCAGAGAGCCCGACGCGGGGCTCAATCCCAGGACCCCAGGATCATGACCTGAGCTGAAGGCAGAGGCTTTAACCCACTGAGCCACCCAGGCGCCCCAACCTGAAGGTTTTAAAGAATAATTTCACTTGCTAAAAATACTCTTCTACTTACTTTGAAAAATTGTAGTTCACATAATCAACCTTCAGAAATTCCAGAGATTCAGAACCTTCTAGGTCTGGGATATTTTTTTCCTTAACCATTTGCTCAATCATCTCCATCCCAGCTAGAACGCCTATGAAGGAAAGAGAGCATTTACTGATAATGACGAAGATGACAGTGGCTTACTACCGTAAACATACACGTGAGGTTTACCGAGTAAGGCCCGTTCTTAGAAACTTAGAGAGCAGCAACCCTAAGAGTGGGTGCTACTGTCCCAGTTTCACAGATGAAAGCACTGATCCTCAGAGAGGCTAATGAAGACCCCAGGACCCCAGACCTAACAGCATGAGAGATTCTCATTATGGGGCCAAAGCTAAAGGGTACTACTGCAGGGCGCTGTGATAGGAGAAGCACAAAATATTACCATTATCCACATTTTATGTATGAACAGACTGAACCCCAAAGAGATGAATTCTCACCTAAGTCACACAGCAAAAAACTGGGGTCCCATAGTCAAATCTGGGTGATTTGGCTCCAGAATTCTTGCCTTATTAGAAAGTTACTCCACATTCTCTCCTTTCCCCTAGATTCTTTATTTTTTTAAATAAGGTTTTATCTATTTATTAGAAAGAGAAAGAGAGGGAGCATGAGTGGGGGAAGGGGCAGAGGGAGAAGCAGACTCCCCACTGGGCAGGGAGCCTGAAGCAGGGCTTGATCCCAGGACCCTGAAATCACAACCTGAGCTGAAGGCAGCCCAACTGACTGAGCCACCCGGGTGCCCCTCCTCTAGATTCTTTCAGCTTAGCTATTTTTGGCCTGAGGTACATGGACTGTTGGGCACTCTTAACCCTCCTGAAATCCTAGTAAAAGACTGTGAGTAGGATATGTATGTGCATGTCATCTGTGTCTCATTTTTCAGTGGAGAAGGTCCACGTTCGCATCAGATTCTCAAAGGATCCCAGGACTCCAAAAACATTATTAAGCCCCGCTTTTGTGCAATTCAGGAATAAATCTGTCTTTACATGGTACCACCACAGGATACATTTTTCTGAGTTCATGGAAAAAAGGAACCCCCTTTCACATAAAGAGCTTGAGAAAAGTAACTGACACAGTAATGAAGAACGATCTTTTCATTTCAGCCTTTTAAGGAGGAAGCTTTGCCTTTATCCCTCATTTTGTGGCTTAGGCTCATTTCCACTTAGGCTGTCCCCGTGGAGATTCAGAGCAGATCTTATCCTCCAGAATACCATGAATAATACTATAATACAGGGATGCAGGGACATGATATAAAGGATATAAAGATGGAAGCAAAGGCACTAGCAGACAGCTTGGTTTCGAATCCCAACACTGTCGTGAGATCACAATAATCGTGTGCCTGTGCGTACGAAGCCTGTCTACGCACTACACATATTCTGTCCCTTGATCCTCAGAGTACCCCAGTGACAGAGGCATTATTATTCCTATTTCACAAAGGATGCAGCTGAGGGTGAGAGAGATTCACAGGCTTGTCCCAGAGCTCACAGCTACCGTGTGTCATCAGCGAGGCTCTGGAGGAACGCGGAACAGAGAACAGAAACACGGGTTTTGACATCAGGCCGAGCGGACCTGAGCTCCAATCCTGCCTTGCCTCCTTCCTGGTATGTGATGTGGCAGATTTGGTCCAGCTCCTCTGAGCCTCAGATCCCTCCCCCATAAAATGACTATCTCTTCTTGTAGAGTTGTTGTGGGAATTAAATCAAACCAGAGCCCATGAGGCTCGGCCATGATAGATAATTGACCAGGACATGGTTCTGACTTTACAGCCTGTCCTTTCCTGGGCACCTGGGTGGCTCAGTCGGTTAGGTGTCGGCCTTCAGCTCAGGTCATGATTCCAGAGTCCTGGGATTGAGCCCCACATCAGGCTCCTTGCTCAGCGGGGAGCTTGCTTCTCCCTCTGCTTGCTGCTCCCCCTACCTGTGCTCTCTCCCTCTCTGTCAGATGAATAAATAAAATCTCAAGAAAAAAATAAAGCCTGTCCTTCTCCACCACCCCATGCCATATCTCTACAGATGATCCCATCTGGTCCTCACATCATGACGGGGGGCACCATTATTGTCATTCTCCCTGTTTTCCAGATGAGAAACCCACTGGGCCAACCCTGCAAGGGGCAGAATTGAGACCTATACCCGTGGGAACTGATTAGATCTGTTCTTTTAATGCTCTGATCTTGAGAGTGGAATAAACTCTTCTCACAACTTCAATAACGTTGCAAGATTTCTATTTCTGATCTGTATTTCTGTGCACATGAGTATATCAGTACAGTAACAAGATACACACATACACACACACATGCATATAGACATGTGGATACTGACATACATTCCTGGCATGTATTTCTCAGTATATAGCCAGCTCGTACGGCAGTTGTGCAACATGGATTAACCTTAGATTCGTTGTTCCAGATGAAGTACTGGGGGAAGGACAAGGAGTTGCCCAAAACTCAATCTTTCCTTCCTCCTCCCCTCCCTTCCTTCCCTCTATCCTTCCTGTGTTTCTTTTTTGGTACAGCAGGTGAGGTGTTTCCTGGTCACACTTAGGAGTTTCTGAGTTAGACTAGCAGTACTTGGGCTGACTGCTTTAGTTAAGAAGGGATTGGAGTCAATCTATCTGCCTGTACTCAGCTAATCTTGGGCCAAAATTTATAGGATAGAATTAGGCCCACACACTTTGATTTCACAGTTCCTTTCCCATACACAATCTGCCCTCACCCCAGCTCTGCTGAACATTTTTCTCTCCCCATGTTTATAAATACCTCTAAAGGAGTTTTACTTAATCTTTCAGTGTCCTGGGCTCCTTTTTGCATGTAATGAAAATATGGAGCCTCTCTCAAGAAAAATCCCCAATCATCATCTATATTAAACTTGGCGCACAATTTTAGGGGATTTTTAGTTCCTTTTGGAATTAAGCCCTTTCTGAAGTTCTAAAGTATTACTTTCACTCTCCCATCTCCTCCCCTCTAGCCTATGATGTATCCTTCTTTACAGCAGAGATGTTCATTGTATGTGCATGAGGGGGTACAGGAAGTAGGGGCCGGGGAGAGAATGAGTATCTGCAGTCAAGTTTGGACAGACCTACCATCAAGGTGATTGTTTTTTGGACAACACTTCCTTCCCAGCTGTCTTAGCAATCTCCACATCATTCTACAGGAGAGCTTGCCTCAGTCATGAGACAGTCCAATATGAGCTTGGAACTCATATAAACTCCACCTGGGGGGCTGTAGCCTGGCTTCTGGAAGCCCTTGACTTACCATAGTCCAGAGCCTGCTGAGTAACCCTGGCCTTGATTCCAGGGTAAACGGTCTGGGCGGATGAGATGTAGAGATTCCACAGGAAGAAACATCCCCAGAGGAGTTGGACTGCCTTTGTATACATCTGCAATTAACCAACATTTATGGTTCCTTTACTATTTTTGACTTTTCGTTGGTCAATTCCATATAGTTTTCTATGATTTCTTGTTCATTGCTCACTGCCAGAACTTACTCTATCCACCCATTGGTCCATATATCCATCCATCCATCCAACCATCCATCCATCCAACCATCAATCCATCCATCCATCCATCCATCCATCCATCCAGTAATCATTTATTGAACACACCAGAACATGTGCTAGGTGCTGAGGATGCAGAGATGACCTCTGTGTGTCCTTGGCTTCTGTTTCTCACAGATTAGTGGGTGAGTCAGACACACACACAGATGATTATGACTCAGGATAATACAATACAATGCAATGCAGCACAAGAGACTTACTGCAAATGTAACACTGGTGATATGTCTTGGGAAGGATAAGGGATGGGGATGTGGGATTTTAGACCATTTCAGAACACGAGTCAGTAGTTTAGAAAGGTGGCTTTAGGGAATGTGAAACAATGAGTCATCTGCTTAGAGACCCTTAATGACTCCCCTTTGCCCACAGGACAGGGTTTAAGCTCGCAGCCCAGTGGCAAGGCCTTACCCTGCTCTACACTTATACCTCCTCAAAGACTTCCTTCTTTAACACACATGCCAGGCTCACCCCAGAATCTAGTACAATGCCTGGCATGCGTAGATACACATATACAAAATCTTAAATAAACATCTCCAAGGAGAGGGACCACATCTTTTTTGTTTTTGCTGTTATATTGCTGGTGCTTGGCATATGTTAAATATTCAGTGTATACTTGTTAAATGAATGGACTCAATGAATTAATGGCAGTCTGTTTTCTTTCCCTTTCTTCCCTCCTACTTTCCTTCCTTCCATCCCTCCTTCCTTCCTTTCTTTCAAGTAGGCTCCACACCCAGCATGGAGGCCAGTATGGGGCTTGAACTTATGACCCTCAGGTTGAGACCTGAGCCGAGATCAAGAGTTGGATTCTCTTGGTTGGATACACCCCGGTGCCCCTCAGCCCATTTTCTTGATGAATGAAGCACAGGTTACCAATAGCAACGGTGACACGGGTTCCTTTTAATGACAGGCGAGTGAGTAATATGTTCACAGGCCTTGTTTCTAGTTCTGGCAGTTTACAATCTGGGTGAGCTACCATTGCTGCGTTCATACGTGTCAAAGACCCACAGGTGACAGATTCCCACTGAGTTAACATACAAACATGAAACAAATCAGGGAACTATTTGTGGGGGTGATGAAGGAAGAGGAAGTTGTGGGAGCCATGCAAAGGGAGGGGTCAGGCCAGGTGGGCAGGGAAGGATTCAAAGAAGGGCTGGGACTCAGGAGCAGTCTGGATGAAGGAAACAATCATATCAAGAGGTGTGTATGGGGTGCTTGGCCAAAAAAAGAAAGAGGTTTGAAAAAGGGGGTTGTGTGGGCTTTATGGATGAGGCCGTAGAGATAGGAATGGAATGTGTAGACAAAGGGCTGTTCCAGAGAATTTACTTGAGAGGAACAGAAAAGTCTGACCAGGGAGAGGAGTATCCGTGCAGGGCTGTTGCTAGCCTATCTTGGCCTTCTGTACGGAACGGGAAAAAGTTCCCTTTGGAGATATACCAGCCTTCTGGCACAAAGTGGGGCAAGCAGAAAATGTTTTTTTAAAAATCCCATACCATGTGCCCGGCTAGATCAGTTGGTAGAGCACGAGACTCTTAAAAATCCCATACCAGTGTGCCCAGCTTGGTAGGGAAAGCAAGGGCTGCCCTACTCACCCATTGGGCTAGCATTTTTAAAAAATACTTAGATTTCATTTATTTATTTATTTTTGAGAGAGAGGGAGGGAGAAAGAAAGAGTGTGGAGCTTGACACTTCTAGAATTCGATCCCATAACCCTGAGATCATGGCCTGAGCCAAAACCAAGAGTAGGACACTTAACCCACTGAGCCACCCAGGCACCCCATGGGCTGTTTTGCATTTTGTCTAGTATACACATTGCCCAATTTATACAGGGGACTTATGTACAGATTAGCGAATGTTCATGTGGGTATTTTGCTGGAGGGCCATGAGGCTGAGACTTGGGGTCTTGACTTGTCTGTTTGGTGGTGTATCCGTCCACCTTCAGGTGTGAGGAGTGGCTGGGTCAGTCAACTTGCTTACATTTCTAGTCTGATCTCCCAGGAGCCCTCTGTCCAGACCAACTGGACTCCTGGTCCCTAAACACTCACCACGCTTCCTGCCTAAAGCCTGTGCTTATGCTGTTCATCTTCACCTGGGCCTGCAGAAACCTTGCACCTCCTTAAGGTTCATTTTAAATACAGCCTTCCCTAAGTTAATCATATTTCCTTCTGAATCCTTGGTCAAAACAGATACTTATTCATGTGTTTATATTTATTTTCTCACATGCCCTCTGTCTCTTCTGTGAGAATGTAAGTGCCATGACGGCAGAGACCTCATTTGGTTTGGAGGCCCTAGAGCCTGGCTTAGTGTCTCAAACATAGAGTGACTGATAATTATTGGTAGAATGACTCAATGAATCATAAATTAAGGAAGAACCCTTACCTCGCTCTGCATTATTATTATTTTTAAAAAGATTTTATTATTTATTTGGCAGAGAGAGAGATCACAAGTAGGCAGAGAGGCAGGCGGGGTGGGGGGGGAGGAAAGCGGGCTCCCCACTGAGCAGAGAGCCCAATGCAGGGCTCGATCCCAGGACCCTGGGATCATGACCTGAGCTGAAAGCAGAGGCTAACCCATTGAGCCACCCAGGCGCCCCCCCCATCCCCGCATTACATTACAGTTCTTTGCAGAGGTGATTCACAAAGCTTTTGTACATTAGTGGAGTGCATGCGCCCATTAGAATAGATGTGGGCCACAGTCCAGGAGCAGCATTGGGGAGGTTAGGTACTGGATCATGGGGACAGGAAAAGTTTTGGGAGGACTAGCCAGTGTGGCTGGGGTACTGGGGATGGGGTGGGAGACTCAGAGTATTGACTATTTACTATTAGAAATGGGGGCATTTTGGGGTACCTGGGTGGCTCAGTGGGTTAAGCCTCTGTTTTCGGCTCAGGTCATGATCCCAGGGTCCTGGGATCAAGCCCCACATTGGGCTCTCTGCTCAGCAGGGAACCTGCTTCCTCCTCTCTCTCTGCCTGCTTCTCTGCCTACTTGTGATCTCTGTCTGTCAAATAAATAAATCTTAAAAAAAAAAAAAAAAGAAATGGGGGCATTTTAATATCTTAACACTGCTGTGGTCTTAGCATTCAGTATGCTGTTTCAGCCCTACAGAATTGGTCTGGGTTATACTGGACAATGTGCAGAAAGAACCTGGGCAGTGCTGGGGGCAGGGCTATGGAGTGGTGGCTTGGGGATGGTCGGGTGCAGAGAACATCAAGGGAAGCATGGAGCAATGACAATAAGAGCCAAGGGGGCGGGGCTTGAGTAGGAGACCTGTCTCTAGTAGGGCAGCAGGTGATCTGAGGGAGGAAATGTGAGGAGTGGGACAAGCAAGCAAGGGGCAGGGTGATACTAACATCTTACACTCAGAATGGATGTAGAAGCTAGGGCCAGTTGCCATCTGTGCTAGGCCCTCCTTGGTCCTTGTTATTCTGGGTTTGGGGGGTGGGTGGTCAAGGGGTCCTGGAGAAGGGGATAGGCAGAGATGGATGAGACTATGGGAGTCAGGGAAACACTCCTGGGGCTGAGATTAGTGGCTATTCACAGCTGATATAAAAGTATGTCCATATTTTAACAAATGGTGAAGCCATACGGATGTGTATTCACACTGACATTACTGTGGGCAAAGAATTGTAAATGATGTGTCAGGCCAAGGCAGGCATGAGAGAGATTTTCTTTTTTTTAAAGAGGAAAATATTTTCATAGCAATGCAATGTGGTGGGAAAAAAATTAGACTAAAACGTTTATACACATTAGACTGTATATTGCAATTAAGGTTGATGTGATCTCCCTGTCAGCATGTAACTAGGATCTCAGTAAGTATTTGCTAACTGACCAACTAACTGGGTTACAAGATTCTGGTTAACTAAGAAAGGTTCTAGAAGACTGTGAAAATAGGGGAGAAAACCAAACCATCATAAAAATAACTCTCCATTTCTACAGTGGAAAAGCATAAAAACCAGAGCAGAGCTATTACTTGTTAATGGAGTAACAAGTAAAATAATGAATTTATACACACACACACACACACACACACACTCTTACCATTTACACAACTCACAATCATCCTTGGAGGCAGATGTTACTATAATCCTACCTCCCTCTCAGGCATGTGAACACAGAGACTTGGAGAGTCTGAATGACCTGTCTGAGACCACAGGGTAAGTCACGCACCTGGGAACCACACCTTGCTCTTCTGGTTCCCAATTCTAGTGTTTATGAATTTAATTGCTTGATAAGTGCTAGATTTTTCATTTTCTTCTGGGAACATTAGGAGATGCTTGATGCCATCTTCTATGTGGAAAAAAAAATCAGGAAGCATCTGGAGATTTTCAAGTGTCAAAGTGCAAATCCTTTTGTATTTTCTTGGGCACAAATGGAATTTTAATGTCCTTCCAGCAGCAAAAATCTATTTTCCCTTCTTCAGTAAAGAGAGTATCTGAAATGGTCTACACTGATGGAGATCTAGGAACTCAAAATTGCACATAGAAAAACACATTTTTCCACTAGACATTTTATGAGTGAATGAAATTATGGGGCTATAAAAGGATTGCATGTAACTTTCGGCTGAATTGTTTGTTAGGATGATAATTTATAGGCAGAGGAGGGAACGAACCTTGTCAAGCAAGGAGGTGAGTTCTAAAAGGTTAAGTAATTTGGCTGACAAGTAAGGGCAGGATAAGTTGCCTATGAAAAGGAGGGATCCAAGATGACTTAAAAACCCTGCCCACAAGTTACCGATTTTGTTGTGTCTAAGGAATTGTTTCTTCCATGATTCAAAGCCTCAGAAGTCATTACATTTCCATACCAATAAATGGACAGAATAACCCTTCTAAATTAGATGGCTCTGCATAACAACAATTTTTTCTAGTTATGTCTCTTGAGGCAGGGGCAACAAAAGCAAAAATAAATTATTGGGACTTCATCAAAATAAAAATCTTCTGCACCATGAAGGAAACAATCAACAAAACTAAAAGGCAGCCTATGGAATGGCAGAAGATACTTGCCAATGACATATGCAGTAAAGGGTTAGTATCCTAAATACGTAAAGACCTTATACAACTCAACACCCCAAAACCTTACAATAATCCAATTTAAAAATAGGCAGGAGACATGAACAGACATTTCTCCCAAGGAGACATCCAGACACCCCACAAAACACATGAAAAGATGTTCAACATAACTTATCATCAGGGAAATGCAAATCAAAATTACAGTGAGATATTACCTCACACCTGTCATAATGACTAAAATCAATGATACAAGAAACAATAAGTGTTGGCAAGGGATGTGGAGGCAAAGGAATCTTTATGCACTTTTGGGAATGCAAACCGATGCAGTCACTGTGGAAAACGGTATGGAGGTTCCTCAAATAGTTTAAAATAGAATTACCGTATGATTCAGTAATTGCACTACTGGGCGTTTAGCTCCAAAATACAAGAACACTAATTCGAAGAGAAACATGCACCCCTATGTTTATAGCAGCATTGTTTACAATAGCCAAACTATAGAAACAGACGAGTATCCATTGACAGATGAATGGGTGAAGAAGGTGTGATACACACACATACATACACACAATGAAATTTCATTCAGCCACAAAAAAGAATGAAATCTTGGCTGTTTGTAACAAGATGGATGGAGCTGGATAGTATTATGCTAAGTGAAATAAATCAGTCAGAGAAAGACAAATACCATATGATTTCACTCATGTGGAATTTAAGAAACAAAACAACTGAGCAAGGGAAAAAGAGAGAGAGGTAAACCAAGAAATAGACTCTTAACGGTGGAGAACAAACTGATGGTCACCAGAGGAGGTCGGGGGGCGGTGCATGAAACAGGTGATGGGGAGTAAGGAAGGCACTTGTCCTGAGGAGCACTGGGTATTAGAGGAAAGTGCTGAATCACTATATTGTACACCGGAAGCTAATATTACACTGTAGGTTAACTAGCTAGAATTAAAATAAAAACTTAATATATAAAAACATAAATGTGTCAGGTGGCCCTTGCCTGAACCATTCTGATGACCAGAAATAAGAACACTCTAGTACAACTTGGGAAATTCCCGAGACAGGTCGACTTGCCATTGGTATTTGCAATGGTGAATACCAGACAGACTTTGGGAAAATCAGTTAACGCAGGTGATAAATGAATGAAATGCAGCCTTTAAAACAGGGGCAAAGGTGAAAAATTAAGTCCAGTTGGTTTAAAGAAGCCGGGACTGCCAGACTATTCCAACCTAATTGTTAAGACAAAATGTGTAGAAGGAGTCTAAATCAACAGGTATAGAATATGGGTAGAACTGGGGCTGTTTCAAGGGATTCAGCTCACACTTCTTTTTTTTTTTTTTAAAGATTTTATTTATTCATTTTATTCATTATTCAGACAGATCATAAGTAGGCAGAGAGGCAGGCAGAGAGAGGAGGAAGCAGGCTCCCTGCTGAGCAGAGAGCCCAACACGGGGCTCGATCCCAGGACCCTGAGATCATGACCTGAGCTAAAGGCAGAGGCTTTAACCCACTGAGCCACCCAGGGGCCCCTCAGCTCACACTTCTGATTTTTACCAAGATCTCAAATGACAAGGTCATTAAAAATTTACACCGAGTCTTCCCCAAACTCCATACTTAACACAAACAGGTTAAACAATTCCTGCGAGTGGGAGGGCCCTTTGCTCTGGCAGGATGTAGGTCACTTGATGTGGTTTAAGACCTGGCCCCAAACACAGAGATCAGAGCAGCCCCTTCTTCCTAGATCCACACTGGTTCGACTTAGAGACAAGTTAGAATTTTCTGCCACTGAGCTGGGTTCCCCCTTGAAATGAAGGTAAACATAAGTCCAGAAGATTGAGGGACTGTCTTAACGTTGCTGAACGAAGCAAATGTCAATCACACGTCCATACCAACTCTCTATTCTTTCTCAGACCTTCTCAGAACCATCTGGGTGGGCATGAGTGACACAAAAGACAAAAACAAAACAGAAAACCCTAGGCAGACAACAAAGACTCAGGCTACATGACAGCTCACTGAGCCAGGGCGTCACCAGCGGAAGGGTAATCCCTAACCGGGAGATTTTGCGCTGGCAGAGACCAAAAGTTTGTTCATGATTCTTACCTCAAGTAGGGGAAGTGTTCAAAGCTGGAGAGCACCTTCGACTCCTTCTGCCTCTGAAGCTATGTGTTCTCCACTTGAGCCTTGAACTCAGCTGCTGAAAAGACAAGATAATTAAGTGTGAATCATCTAGTGGTGGATTTTTTTAAATGCCTCTTTCAAAATGTGATACATGATTGCTACACTTCAGTTGCCCAATAGCATGAATGAACACTACAGCTTCTACCTAGATGAGCAGACAGTGCCACCCATGCAGTGATTACTCCCTGTAACACACACACACACACAATTATGACGACGTTACCAGAATGATGAACTCAAGATTTCCAACGTACTTAAAATGGTGTCAAATTGGACTGAGTTGGAAGATGAAGAATTTTCCTTTCTGGGATAATAGGCCAGTTTCTCCTGGTCAGGGTGCCTGCGGTAAATGGCCCCACCACTGCCCAGAATACCTTTTGGGACTTTTGGTGGATCAGATTCAGTCTGAAAGCATGAGGCTTGATAACCGGGCTGACCTAGTTACCACCTTTATCTTTCAGGGTAGGAGCAGCGCGCAGATGGTATCTCTAAGTGCCTGTTCCTTTTCAGGCTGTTAGTGACTTCCGCTGTCAGCATTTCTTTGAGGTTCGGTTGGGTGGGCGCCTCAGCTCCGACATGACTTCACACCGGTAGGTTCTAAACCCTGTCTGCCCTCCCGTCCCCCCACGCTTTAGTCTTCGCATTTTACATGGCCAGGGATCTGACGGCATGAAGTATCTAAGGTCTGATTTACAGTTTTCTGGGTAAGATAGGGCGACCCACTGCCCTGATTTTCTCAGGAAGCAGGCTTTTCAGTACTTAAACCAGAACAGTCCTGGGAACAGGAGACTGGTAACACGAAGAACAGCAGGCACGCTCATTCGGCATTGTCCGCACTCCTCAGAGCTCTTCTGGTCTCTGACCCTGGGCGCCTCCCGTTATATTTACCTATTTAACTTGTGCTTCCTTAGGGGCAAAATGGGGATAAAAAATAGTATCTACCTTGGGACACCTGGGTGCCTCAGTCAGTTAAGCCACTGCCTTCGGCTCAAGTCATGATCCCGGAGTCCGGGATCAAGTTCCACATTGGGTTCCTTGCTCAGTGGGGAGCCTGCTTCTCTCTCTGCCTCTGCCTGCCACTTTGCCTGCTTGTGCTTTTTCTCTCTCTGACAAATAAATAAATAAAATATTTTTAAAAAATAGTATCTACCTTGATAGGATCTGGTGGAAAAAAAGAAGTTGACCGTCAGCCGGTTGGGGCTGCTGTCGTGTACAAAAAAACAGACACTGCTCACAGTTCTGGAGGCTGGAAGTCTAAGATTAAGGAGCCTGCATGATCACATCTTCCTGGTTCACAGCCAGCGCCTTCTGGCTGTGTCCTCACACAGTGGCAGGAACCAGGGATCTCTCTGGAGCCTCTTTTACATGGCATCCGTCCCATTCATGAGGATTCCACCTTCGTGACTTGAGTACCTCATTAAAGCCCCGCCCGCAGATACCATCACCTTTGGGATTAGGATTTCAACATGTGAATTTTGGAGGGATGCAAACATTCAGACCATAGCCATAACCTGGAAGAATTTGCTCTTAAAACTGAAAAATGCTGTAAAATTTTATTCATTGGTCTGTGGCCTTATCAGTGGTGACACAAGCCTGAAGACACTTTCCTCATCGAATCATTTACTATCAGTCATTACATATTCCCCTCATTCAGTCCGCAAATATTGGGCAAGGACCTCTTCAGTAAAAAAGATTCCATGTCCATGTGGAGTTGATTAGATAAGGCTATAAAACAAACAAGCAAACAAGGGATCCTGTTGGTGTGTGGTCTTGTAATGGACAGGGTGCTGTCACTGGGGGAGGCATGCTCCCTTTGGGGGATGGCCCAGGAAGGCTTTTCTGAGGCGGTATACTGGAGCTGAGATCCGAGCTCTGAAGGGAATAAGGGTACAGACCCCCGTACTGTATGAAGGAGAGACATACAGGCATTAGGCATGTGAACAGCAGGGTCTGGTGGGGAGCTGGAGTTCTGGGGAAACCTTGGCTGGAAATGTGAATTTCTAAATCATCATGTGGTCCAAAAATGCAATGGAATATTACTCAGCTGTCAGAAAGGATGAATACCCAACTTTTGTATCAACATGTACGGGGACTGGAGGAGATTACGCTGAGGGAAATAAGCAGAGAAAGTAAATTATCATACGGTTTCACTTGTGGAGCATAAGGAATAACATGGAGGACATTAGGAGAAGGAAAGGAAAAGTGAAGGGAAGGGAATTGGAGTGGGAGACGAACCATGAGAGACTGTGGATTCTGGGAAACAAACTGAGGGATTTGGAGGGGAGGAGTGTGGCGGGGGGGTGAGCCTGGTGGTGGGTATTAAGGAGGGTACATATTGCATGGAGCACTGGGTGTGGTGCATAAACAATGAATCTTGGAACACTGCATCAAAAATTAATGATGTACTGTATGGTGACTAACGTAACACAATAAAAAGATTCTATTAAAAAGAAAAATAAATAAATCACCATGCTGGTGGTGAAATGAAAGCCCAGAAGTTGGCAGGTGCACATGGGGCAGTTTCTCATGGTGTAAGGGCTACTGAAGGCTGCGGGATGATTTTAGGTGCTTGACAGAGAAACACTTGATTGTCATTGTTTAAGTGTTTTTAGTGTGCAAGGGAAAAGAATACACAACTAGACATGGAAGCAGAGGAATGAAATCACAGATCACGTGGACAAAATTCACAAAGTACCCCAAATATTTCTGTCCTTTCCTCAGAATCTTCCCTGGGTGGCAGCACCAGTTTCGCACCCTACCCCCCATCTCTCCTGCCCAGAGCAGTGGCTCAGGCCCTAACTTCCTCTCCTGCTCACCCACCCTCCCCCACTACCCCCATACCTTTTCTCCGTCACTAAGATCCCCATCCCATCCATTAACCAGATGCATAGGATCTGCTAGACTTACAGAGAAGTTGATCATTAAAACAGCAGTAGTTTTCCTGAAGCAGATATTAATTTTTCCTTTTGTCCTGGAAAACCTGAAAGTCTTGGTGGAAACCTGAATCACTGTTGTCTATCCTGGGGCATCTGGCATGGGATTTGAGGGGAGTTCTCAGGAGAGGTGGCCTGGAGAAAGTGAACTCGACTCTGTCCTGCAGCGCTGGACCTGTCCTGCCCGCCCCACCTGGGACCCTGGGCAATTTGCTCCATTTGTGGGTCTCTGCCATCCAGAGTCACTGAGAGAATGAAGCTGAATGAGCTAACACATAGTTTTTCATACAGTATTAATAAGATGCATCATTATGTTTCTCTATTTTTATCTTAAACATTCAGAGTTTCCATGGTATTTATTTTTGCCCTCTATTTGGAAATTAACAAGCTTTCTCTTAACATAGCTTCTTCCCCTTTTAAACAAATGTACATACAGCTTTTAAAAAATTATCATTATTTTTTTAGAGAGGGAGAGAGAGAAGTGAGAGAGAGGGGCAGAGGGAGAGGGGGAGAGAGAATCTTAAGCAGCCTCTGTGCTGAGCGTGGAACCTGACGCAGGGCTCAATCTCATGACCCTGAGATTACGACCTGAGCCAAAATCAAGAGTCAGACACAACCAACTGAGCCACCCAGGCGCCCCTAAACCAATGTACATACAATTTAAGAAGTGGACTGATTTATGGGGAAAAGTAAATAATGGTGCAGCTCTGGTGGGACGTGGAATAATTCTAGAAAAAAAAAGGCCCAAATAGTTTGAGTTTAGGAAACGAAGGTGGAAGAAGAGAGGGCAGCTAGTCTGTTTTTATTTCATTTGGAAAGGGCCTGAGATTTCAGCTCCTTAGTGTCCTTTCTGCTCAACAAGTGGCTTTAAGACAAATTTCTTGAATCCTTCATCACATCACAAGCCAGTAGCACTATGTCCAGGGTCACTATTTATTTTAGTTTTTCAGATTTAACCGAGAAAATGTGCTGGGAATTCCTGCTTATCCAGCCTACCCACAGTGGCAATTTAGAAGGCAAGATTAATTATTTTACTTACTAATGGCTGACAGCATGTTAGTCTCTACAGATCAAGGGACACCTTTAATTAAAACTCCAAAGAAACATCATAATTAACTAGGTAGAATAATTGTTCACTAAAGAAAAATTTCAAGATCCAGTGTTAAGGAACTGAGCACCCTACTTCTTGGTTTCTAGAATGTCTGGGCTCTTCCCATATAGAACAAAAGCTATCTGAATACCAGAGTTTTTTGCACTTGGAAGACAAATATTATTCTTTCCAGGAGAATAAGAGGGGACAGGGATCATCTATACGTTGGTGGGTGGGGGGGAGAACCAATATTTTGTGTTGGTGAAATCTGGTTAAAAGGACACCCCGAAGAGGGAGTAAGAGGTAGGGAAAAAGAAGAGCTAACATTTTTGTTATATTCTGGGCACCAGCCATATATTATCTTATTAATTCCCCACCAAGACGGTATGAGGTACTAATATTATCTCAATTTTATAGGTAAGAAAACGAAGGGGGTTTGGTATATGCTGAAGCTTAGGTGTCACAGCTAAAGTTGTAGAGCCAGGACTCAGGACCCAGATGTCCTGGTTCCCAGAGTCTGTGTTCTTAACCACTATGCCATCCTGCCTCTTCAGGAAGGTTGCTAATGGGCAACACACAGCCCAGAGGATGTGGAAGGTGAGGAGAGAGAAGGATGCTATTGATAGGCAACACATCTGGTTTTCCAAGCCGCTAATTGGATCTGTAAGAGTGACACAGATAGATGTGCTTGTTTGAAGCTGCAAACTTATTCCACCAGAGGAAGCTGTCTGGAATTGGTGTGGCTCTCAAGAGAGATTGGCGGTTCACTATGGATGGGCTGAGGAGACATCTGGCAGAACTGCCCCGTCCCCTGGCAGCATCTCCCCGTCTCTTCCCAGCTCTGTACCAGGCCACCCTCTCCTGATGCCTGTGATGACTGACCCAGACCTTGGCTCTCCCGCAGTCACTCTCTGCAACGGTTTACAGCATGGATTCTCTCCTGGTTTTGAAAAATAAACAAACCCACTTATTTACCTCACTTATTATCAGTTGTCTAAAAGGGAGTTACATTTTATTATTTGCAGTTCAAACTGAATTTAAATTCATGTTAAATCTGAAATGAACATACATATGTCTTTTATGAGACATGAGAGATACTGTGGAACCAAGCAAGCAAGATAATGTGATACAATTCTGAAATGTCTGAGAACCACTAGGGTGGCCCAGTTCAGACAAGAATTTCTCTACCTCGACACTTTGACACTTTGGGCAGCGTAATTCTTTGATGTGGGGGCTGTCCTATGCCTTGCAGGACACTTTGCAGCACCTCTTGCCTCTACTGTGATGTTAGCAGCACCACTTTCTCCTACCCTCGTTGTGACAAAAATGTCTCCAGACTATGACTAATGTCCTTGGACAGGCCTTGGTTGAGAAGCAAGAAAATAAAATATATTCAAGTATTCTATCTACCTTGATGTAGAAGCTGGCACGCCTCTGGAGGGTCAGATTCTACTATTCCTAATAATATTTTTCTTACTTATTCAATACATATTTGAATACACTCTCTCGGTGACAGATTCAAACAACACTGAAGTTTACATATTGAGCCGTGAAAATGCCTGATGCTCCTTCCACTCCTTATCCCTGTCTTTTGTACGCCTGCTTCTAGTTTGCTTTCCAGGAATATTTTTCTTTCTTTCAATAGATTTCAGACATATTCATTTGGACCCTGGATAGGGTTTTAATCATTTCAACAACTTCTGAAGATTCTTTTCCTAATTTGCACGGCTTGAATTTCCTTTCACAATACTTTTAAGGTCCATTTCAATTTCTTACCAATCATAGCAGATACCTCAAATTACTTTATAAGTGTTAAGAAAACCAAAACAACCACAGCAAGACCACATGGTATAGACCAGTGGTTCCCAAAGTGTGGTTTCATAGTGGCATTACCTGGAAATCATTAGAAATGCAAATTCTCAAGCCCTTCTCAAGACCTGCTAAATTAGAAAACTGTATAAATTAAAGCTCAAGATTCAGGAAAATGGATTGGATTTAAGTAAATACTCAAATGAAGGCCAACCTGGCTTTCTTTGGTAGAGACAGAATGAAAATCTTAATTCCAAACAGATACATCAAAAACTTAGAGATAACAATGGATATCTTTATACCACTTTAAATTTTGCTTAATTAGTCCTAACAAGGAGGTGGGGACTGAATGTTGTGAAGATGGATTAAGACCTGTCTTTTCCCCATGAAAAACTCATAACCTAAGACTGGAGAAAGCCTGATGTGCAAATAATTGTACTATGATATGATGGATAACATTGAAAAGCATGTTCCAAGTGCTCTTGGAACAAAAGGAAGGAGCAACATACTTTCCTTGAAAGAAGGAAAAGGAAAGTATTCAAGGCAGAAGGATCAGCATGTGCAAAAGCACAAGAGCACACAAACTTACTTGGTGGGAGAGGATGTAAAGTAGGGGGAGAGGCATTCTGGAGGAGGGGCAGTGTGAGTAGTCTACAGGGGTCATTGGGAAAATTGAAGAAAGTGATTTCCAGCTGGACTAGTAAGGGTTTTTATTATGCACAGAAATCTGATTTATATTCAGAAGACTATAGGAAACTCAACAATAAGGGAAAAAAGTTAAAAAGCGGGCAAGAGATTTGAAGTCACCTCACGGAAGAAGATCTATAGATGTCAAATAAACATACATAAAGATGCTCAACATTGTTATTAAGAATTGCAAATTAGGGGCACCTGGGTGGCTCATTGGGTTAAACCTCTGCCTTCAGCTCAAGTCATGATCTCATGGTCATGGGATCGAGCCCCATATCGGGCTCTTTGCTCGGCAGGGAGCATGCTTCCCTCTCTCTCTCTGCCTGTCTCTTTGCCTACTTGTGATTTCTGTCTGTCAAATAAATAAATAAATAATAATAATAAAAAAAAGAATTGCAAATTAAAGCAATGAGATACATCTATTAGAAGGACTAGAATCAAAAACAACCTGATATATATATCAGTGGTGAGGATGTAGAGAAACAGAAACTCTTGTTCATTGCTAAAGAGAACGCAAAACGGTACAGCCATATTGGAAAACAGTTCGGCAGATTCCTACAAAATTAATCCTAGTCTTGCCATACAACCCAGCAATGGTGTTTCTGGGTGCTTATCCAATTGATTTGAAAACTTAGGTCCATGTAAAAACCTGCTCCAACTCAAATGTTTATAGCAGTTCTATTCATAATTGCCCCCAAATGGAAGCATCCAAGATGTCCTTCAATAGGTAAATGGATAAACTGTAGTACATCCATACAATGGGATGTTACTCAGCATTACAAAGAAATGAGCCAGGAGCCGCAAGAAGGCATGGATTAATCTCAACTGCATATTGCTAAGAAGTTAGTCACAAAGCCAGAAAATGTTACACATTTTACAAATGTTACAAATAATTCCAGTCATATGACATTCTGGAAAAGGCAAAACTAAAGAGATGGTAAAAAGATTGGTAATTGCCTGAGACTGGGGGCAGGTGGTGGTGGAGAAGGTTGAAGGGCAGGGGACTTTTTAGGTAGTGAAATAAGACATTATGCGTTTATCAAAACTGATAGAACTTTACAGGTCAGAATAAATCTTAACGCACGTAGTTTAAAAAAAATCACATAGGAGATTGAGGGGGTCCAAGACAGAATGCAGAATGTGAGAAAAGAATGCATTACAAGTGTATGAAACAACCTTGGTGAAGGGGATTGGAGAACAAGGTGCTGACCTGTGTCGCTCTGGGAGCAAATGGAAGCTGTACGATGGAGGCCAGCAGGAGCTATTGTTGAAGCACTGTACTCCAGCTGACAATGTTGTTTTTGACAAGGGTATGGGTTAAGAATCCTGAAACCACGACACATAGCTGCTGGAAATGAATGACTAAGTAAATGGATGGTGGATGGGGGGGGGCTAGATTTGTCACATTTGGATTGGGAAGTTACAGATAAGCAAGGGAGGAGAACAGAATGATGATGGGGTAATGGATTAGAGCTGGAAACATCAGAATGAACTCATGCTCAGTTTAATATAGAAATAGATGGTTATGTATGGAAATAGTGTGTACATATATGTATCTCCCTGCTCTGTCAGCTGAGAAGGCTTAGAATCAATAACACCTCAATAGTAATGAGCACCGCTAGCACCCAGATCGTGGTTTCTAATACCACTCTCCTGTAAAAAGCACTAGGGTACCTAGGAAAACTGGTTGATTCTAGGGTTGGGGTAGGATATATACAAAATGATCCTAGAGCATCTTACAGTGCCAGAAAATAAGAAAGTGCTAAAGAACAGAACAAATGAACAAAAATCCACAATAATGTAAAATGGATACAGTAGCCAATGGAAAGATTTCCCAGTGGTCAAAGCTGGAACAAATTGAGCAACAAAATAAATGAAGCAGTATTGGATTATAAGCAGAAGTATAAAATAAATATAAGTCCACACTGATATAAGGGATTGAATAGACAAATCTCCTGTACAGAAGAAATGCAAATAATTTATATAGATATTCCACCCCTAAAATCTAAAACTCTAAGTGTGGGCTGCACATAGTGACTTTCTTCCAAAGGCTACAGTATGAAAAGGAGAAATAAGGAGTACACAGTAAGTCCACAGTAAGAGGAGAAACCAAGTGATTAGGATTAACAACAGCAGCGAGAAGTCATACTGACAGTTTACACTGTTGATGTGCTGAGCATGGTACCTTGACTTCAGTGGTCTTCCTCCCAGGAGCATGTTACCTTGGTCTAATCATAAGAAAGCATCAGACAAATCCCAGTTGAGGGATGTTCTACAAAATCCTTGACCAGTAATCATTAAAACTGTCAAGGTCATTAAAAAAATGAAAGTCTAAGAAACTGTCGTAGCCCAGAAGAGCCTAGGGAGACATGATGACTAAATGTAATGTGATGTCCTGGATGGGATCTTGGAACAGAAAAAGGACATAAAGAAAAAAACTGAGGGAATCTGAATAAAGTATGGACTTTGGTTAATACAAATATGTCAACATTAATTCATTCATTTTGATAAATGTTCTACACTCATCTAAGATGTTACTTGATAGGGTTACTTGGGTGTGTGGTATATTCTTTAAATTGTTCCATAAATCTAAAACCATTTTAAAATAAAATGTTTTTCAAAAAAAAAAAGTCTACAGGGAGGGTATGTATTCCCATAGAAGAGTGATATTGTCCCTTTTCATATTCTATAAAATGGTCCATTAAAAAATAAATTTAACTTTCAGAACTCTTTGAGAGTTGCAGTAACTGTTGCTTGCAGACATTAAAGTGACATCCTTCAAGAAATTAAAAAAAAATTTCAAGGAGAGAAATAGTTGAGAGAAGAGGTATATAATGTTTTCATGGATCTTTGAAGTTTAGGAGGATTATCCTCCAGAGTACCTTAAATCTTGGTGGTGCCTTGTGGATGTTCTGGTTCTCTTCCAGGACCCTTCTAAACCCCTGTGTTTGGATGACTTCTTCCATGCCGATGGTTATACCTAATGGGCAAAGGATTGAGACAAGGATCCCGGTTAGATTAGTTTCCTAATCTATTAGAAATCTATTGCTTTAACAAATTATCACAAATTTAGTGGTTTAGCATGAGAGACTATGGACTCTGAAAAACAATCTGAGGGCTTTGAAGGGGTGGTGGGTGGGAGGTTGGGGGAACCAGGTGGTGGGTATTAGAGAGGACACGGATTGCATGGAGCACTGGGTGTGGTGCAAAAACAATGAATACTGTTATGCTGAAAAAAAAATTTAGTGGTTTAGAACAAAAAACCAAGAAAGGTATTATCTCACTTAATCTTTACAACACAGCTGTCTGATACATTGTTACTCTTTCCATTTTTTAAAAAAGTACTTTTTTAGAAGATTTTATTCATTTCTTAGACAGATATCACAAGTAGGGAGAGAGGCAGGCGGGGTAGGGGGGTGGGAAGCAGACTCCCCGCTGAGCAGAGAGCCCAATGTAGGGCTTGATCCCAGGACCCTGGAATCACGACCCAAGCCGAAGGCAGAGGCTTTAACCCACTGAGCCACCCAGGTGCCCCACTATTTTCATTTTTATAGATAGTCACTTATCCAGGTTTATATCGTACAGAGAGGTAGACTGTGGTAGGTGGTCTCCAAAGATGGCCATCGTTATTAGCCTTGCACTGCTTTCTCCAAGAGTGGTATCTCAGAGAGAAATAAATGTATCTTGTCTAGGTCACTATTATTTCATATTTCTTAAGGCAGCTGAAGCTACATTCTAACTAGTAAGACCTCCAAATATAGCCATTTTTCCAATTTCTGTTATTTCTACTTCTGTAACGTCATCTCTGCCCACCCATCATCTCCATTCTTACCGTCATTCCACTAATTCCTTTCTTCTCTCAGTTACCAAAAGAGCCTCCAAACGAAGCTGGTCCCCAATCCAGTGCTTTTCAAGGCAATTTCACCCTCTAGGGAGTATGTGGCAAAGTTTGAGGACATTCTTGCTTTTTACAACTGGGGGGGGGGGGAGGTTTCTAGTAGCATTTGGTAGATTTAGATGCTGCTAAATATCCTGCAAGGCCTAGGATAGTCCTCCACAACCAACACCCATGAAGCCCCACCTGTCATCAGTGCCAAGGCTGAGGAACCCTGACCTAATATATCCGCTACACTCAACAGGTGATAGAGTCAAAGTTCAGATCTGACCTATGTCCCTTGTGGTGTATACCTGTCGGACTCACGGCTTCCTACCGTCTTTTGAATGACCTTTCTACATCCGGGGACATTTGCCTTCCCAAGGAAGGAGTTCAGACCCCACAGTCTCCGTCTCCTTTGCTGCCAGGACTCAGGGAACTCCCGTCTCCCTCAGTCAGATGCCTTCCTACGAACCTTTGATTTAGAAGTGAGCAAGGTGAGGAAACAGGCTCTTTGGGAAGATTTCCGAAGCATTTTGTTGGTGCGGGAGGCTGCAAAGCAGTGCGGCTTTTGAAGGTGGTAGCCATTCGGCAGTGGTTCCTGTCAGGGTGACAGCAGTCTCCTCCAGGGCGGGGTGGGGCGGCAGCAGCAATCCCAGTCAGTCCGGATAGTGTCCTCATCAGGCCAGTTCTTCAGCGTGGTTCTGAGTTTCATTCCTTGAATTAGCCTGGAACCACTTCTTTAGTCCTTCCCAGAATTCCCAGTATCCTTTTTAACATGTTCCAGTTCTTCTTAGTTAGCCAGAGTTAGTCTCTATGGCTCAGCACTAAGAAACCTGATAAAGAATTCCCTGCTTGGGGCGCCTGGGTGGCTCAGTGGTTTAAGCCTCTGCCTTCGGCTCAGGTCATGATCTCAGGGTCCTGGGATCAAGGCCCGCATAGGGTTCTCTGCTCAGCACGGAGCCTACTTCCCCCACCCTCCGCCTGCCTCTCTGCCTACTTGTGATCACTGTCTGTCGAATAAATAAAAAAAAAAAAAAGAATTTCCTGCTTAAAACTCTCCCTTGCCTTCCCATGCATTCTAGAATATTGTCTCATGTCCTTTGCCCAGCTCAAGTCTCTTCTTTATCTCAGATGTACCCACTCTGTCCTTCCCTCTGGCCACACTGAGCCACTCTGGTCCTGCCACCCTTCCCCAATCCCAGATTGCTTGCCACTAAAGAATCCTACTGGCACAACCACCCTTCTCCATGTACACCAGTCCCCAGGATTGCTCTTACCTCTGTCATAAACAAAAAAACTCACTATGCTCTACTACAAGAGTTGATTCACTCAACTGTGAATTCACTCATTCCTTGCGTCCCCAGCACCTGGAATAATACCTAGCACAAAGCAGGTGTTTAATACATGTTTATTTACCCAACGAAGATCGGGAAGTGGACCAGTACTGCCACCTACTGGGAGGAAACTCCATTGGACTCTTTCATAATGATTTGGACAGTGGCTCTCGGACAAGGATGAAATCTGACGATTCCCTCTCTCTCATCTAAGTTATAATCGTTATCATCATTGTCAGACTCTCCATGGTAGCCGGCCTCCCGGGTGGCTCCCAGCGCTCCCTGTCTATTGGTATTCATACGTTTGGGTTGATCCTCCCACACTGAAGGGTTGTCTGGAATGACAGTAGTGATGGTATGTGACTTCTGAGGCTTGATCACAAAAGACAATGTGGCTTCTGCTTTGCTCTCTTGGGGACCACGTGTTGTGAGAGAAGCCAAATGCCAAGTCATGGGGACACTCAATTCACCCTGTAGGGAGGTCCATGCTGTGAGAAACAGGCCTCCCGCCGACACGCAGGTGAGTGAGCTATCCAGCAAGCAGGTTGTCCCGCCTACATCTTGACTGGAATCCCAGGAGAGACCAAGACAGAACTACCCAGCAACGCCATGCCCAAATCCCTGACGCCCGGAACCTGAGGGACACTTCACCTTTGTTGTTTCAAGCTGCTAAACTTTGGGGTGATTGCTACGTAACAGATTACTACTATACTCTGCGACATTGATCAGGGACCTGTTTCGTACTTTGCTGTAACAAGAGGAAACTAGGGGAGCCTGGGTTCAACTAAGGCTTCCAGAGCAGATGCCTGCGGCTGGAGCTGAGCGCCGCGGAGGAAATGAGTAAAGAACCAGGCACTGGGGCTTGCGGAGCGGCGAGTCCCGTATTCTGCAGCCTCTCTCTCGGCGTTAACTTTCTCCGAGCACGCCTGGAAGGACTCGGCACAGCCGCCGCAGAAGAACCCCCATAGCCGCCAGAGCCGCGACAACCGCAACCCGCAGCAGTCTCGGCACCTGCGCACTGCGCGCCTCTTACTCCCAGGCGGAGCCGTTGCGCGCCGAGTCATCGATCACAAGACGCCAAGCGGCCTGGCTGGGCAACTGCCCGCCCGAGGGGTGGGCTCTAGGGGGCGCCCTCAAGAGAGGGGCGGGGCGCCCAAGTTACAGAGACCGTCCCGCAGGGGCCGTGGTAGGTCCTTGTCGCCGCTCGGTAGTCCTCAATAACCCCCGCGGCTCCCGTAGTCGCCGCTCGGGGCCCGTCGCCGCGCGGTCATCACCGTCGCCGCCTCCGGGTCCGGGCCCCCGGGCCCTCCCGCCGCCACCATGAAGCTGCGGGTGCGGCTACAGAAGCGGACCTGGCCGCTCGAGATGCCAGACGCGGAGCCGACGCTGGGCCAGCTGCGCGCGCACCTGAGCCAGGCCCTGCTCCCCACTTGGGGCCTCAGGTAGGCGGCCGCGGCGGCCGCGCGCTGCGGGCCCGGGAGCAGTGTGCGGGAGCGCGCGCCCGCCGCGGGCGGTCACGTGAGGTCGGGCCCCCGCGGGGCGTAGTGGGTCGGGCGTGCTGGGGACTGCGACGCGCGCAGGTCGGGCGCGGCGCGGGCGCTGGGGCTGCGGCTCGCGGGCTCCCGGGTCGCGGAGGACATGGCCCGGCGTCCGGGGGACCCCCTTCCCTTACAGGGTGAGCCATCGCTTCCGTTTCCGCCTCGGAGGAAACCCGGGGATGGGGCGGGGCGCAGGGGTTCGGCTGGGGGCCGACCTTTCCAGGCTCTGTGGGATTCAAGTTCACCGTCACCAGCTATCGCAGTGTCCCAGGGAAAAAGTCAGGAAAGTTCTAGAAGTTAGAAACCGGCCCTCCATCCGAGGCCACCCGTGAGCGGGCCCGCTGCTGGGGCCGCGGTAATGTTGAGGATGCGCTGAGTGTGCGGGGTCCCGGCCCGCGGGGAGCACTTTGACTTCCTCGCCGCAGAGTTTTACACAGTACGGGATGTCGGCGTGGGTCAGATCCTTTTATTTTCCTGGCGAGCTGTTGCTTTTTTGCTAAAACTAAGATAAACGTTGGCCACGGGATGACCCTGGAGGGCTTACAGTTTGGGGGCAGTGAGGTTGACAAACGACGGACCAGATTCCGCTATTAATTTATGGGACTGCAAATGAGACTGCTTTGTTTCCACAGAGAGTATTTTCTGGGGACAGTAATCTGGGGGTAGAGGGACAGACATAGGGCGGACCTCTTCACATACTGAGGTAGCGAATTTGTTATTTGAGGGTACTAAGAGAACAGAAAAAGGCGGTCTCTGGGACTTTTTGGGTGAATTCGTCAAAAGAAAATCTTTCTGTTAATTAAGTGGACCGTTTTTTATGAGACTTTTATATACTTTGACTTTATTTTTAGGGAATAGAGTAAAATGAGGTCATATTATGAACTTCTCACCTTTCATTTTTCAGGTAAAGGCACGATATTAAAAGTAAACCTGTTTGTCTCCAAATTTAAAATGAGATATTGACATAACTGTTAAGCGCTGTATTAAGTGACATGCCTCTTGTTATTTTTTATGTTAAACCTAAGCGTTTTGTATGCTGATGCCATTACCCCACCATAAATCTTCAAAAGCAACTTTTTAAAAAAGATTTTTTCGTATATCTGTATATATATTTTATTGATATTATTTTTTAAATTAGGGGCAGTCTTGAAAGGACTTTACAAGAGCCCAGGTTAGTTTCTTCTTTGAGTTTTGTTTTTTTTTTTTTAAGATTTTATTTATTTATTTGACAGACAGAGATCACAAGTAGGCAGAGAGACAGGGGTAGGGGGAAGCAGACTCCCCACAGAGCAGAGAGCCGGGGACGTGGTGGGGCTCTATCCCAGGACCCCGAGATCATGACCTGAGCTGAAGGCAGAGGCTTTAACCCACTGAGCCACCCAGGTGACCCTGAGTTTGTTTTTGTAGTTGAGGCTGGTTAACTGGAAGGAATGTAAGCTTCAGCTTCTGAAAGTAAATTCATTCTTCTGGAAGTACCTGCACTTTATAAAAATGGGCCGTTTTAATTTTTAAAGTGTCTTCGCTGAGCAAGTGCATCTGGGATTGACATAAAATATTTTTAAAAGGCCTGGTATTTCTAAAGTGGCATTTTCTTCTTCTTTTTTTAATTTAAAGAATTTATTTATGTATTTGACAGACAGAGATCACAAGTAGGCAGAGAGGCAGTGGGTGGGGGGAGCAGGCTCCCCGCTGAGCAGAGAGCCCAGTGCTGTGGTGGGGGGGTCGATCCCAGGACCCTGAAATCATGATCTGAGCTGAAGTCAGAGGCTTAACCCACTGAACCACCCAGGTTCCCCTAAAATGGCATTTTCTGATGAATTAAAATTTTTTTTTTAGTTTCAGAAAACCAGTTTTAATGCCTCCGTGGAAAAGCTGTATGTTACTTTATTTTTAAAATTTTATTTATTTATTTAAAGATTGTATTTATTTATTTGACAGAGAGAGACAGCAAGAGAGGGAATACAAGCAGGGGGAGTGGGAGTGGGAGAAGCAGGCTTCCCACCAAGCAGGGAGCCCAATGCTAGACTCCATCCTAGGACCCTGGGATCATGAGGGGAGCTGAAGGCAGACGCCTAATGACTGAGCCACCCAGGCGACCTTGTATGTTACTTTAGAAGTAGTTCTTCCCTTTTTCTAAATGGGGGCAGTAGGCCAATACTTTTATTCATCATATAATTCTTTAGCTTTTCTACAGATAGATGTTTGAATGAATATTTTGTTAGGTACTGTTAAAAAAACAAACCTTTTGCTATGACAGACGATCCATAAACACATAGTACATTTGAGGCATTTTTCTCTTTATCTGTTGGGATGGTGTTTTTTGTGGCATCTGGCAGATTTTCAACATTTTTCAAAGGGTTTGAAAACCCTTGATAACAGAAGCATAGCAACGTATTTCCTAATAAGCAAAACTTTGGCAGTTTCTCCAACAAAGACACCGTAATTGGTAAGAAAAAATATCTTAACATGTGAAAGAAAACAAATGAATTACTTTGAGCATTTTCAAAAACGCAGCATTGCAAGAATTCTGTTTATTCATGATTTTCAGTAGACTTCATCCTTGGCTGACCTCTCAAAAAGTTAATGTTAAGTCAGCATTGTTGAGTGTAAACGCCTTATAAAATGTGCACTGGTTTGTTAGTTACTCTTCAACACTATGTGATGAAATGATGGTTATTCTCTCAGATCAGAGGAGCTATGATATGGAAGGGAGAGTTCGTTGCTTCGGGCTGATTTGAGCTCTTACCTTGTTTAGCCGTGGGTTTTTGGATTTGTGCTATTTTCATTATAAAAGGCATTATACATGGGGTACCTGGGTGGCTCAGTGGGTTAAGCCTCTGCCTTCAGCTCAGGTCATGATCTCAGGGTCCTGGGATCGAGGCCCGCATCGGGCTCTCTGCTCAGCAGGGAGCCTGCTTCCCCCTCTCTCTCTCTCTGCCTGCCTCTCTGACTACTTGTGAACTCTGTCTGTCAAATAAATAAATAAAATCTTAAAAAAAAAAAAGACCTCATACGTAACTGGTCATCAGTAAGAAAGGTGACCATGTATTTAACAGTGGGAGAGGAGAATTTATACTCGGTCCTCTACATACTCATCTTCTTGTGATTGTGAATATTCATCTAGGACATGGGTCTAGTATTTTGGAACAGACATAAGCTGACTGTTCTGTTGAGACAATGACTAGGGAGCCCTGATTACACTTTCATCACCTTCCCAACTAATGTTTGTTGGTTGCATTTATTCCACAAATACTTTTGTTTGCCAAGTGCTGGAGAGAAATAGTTTTGAAATAGACAAGATGACTGACCTTATGAAACTTAAATTGTAGTGGGGGTGGAGAAGAGATAAATATGGAATTTTCAAATAGTGATGTAGTAATAAAAATAAAACATGACAGTGGAATAGAGTGATGGAGGCTAGGCAGAAGGCATCTCGGAAGAGGTGGCACGTGAATTGAGACCCAGATGATGAGAGTCAGTCCCCAGAAGATCTGGAAGAGCAAATGCAGAGGCCCAGAGGCTGCAGTGAGGTTGATCTGTTTTGAGGAAGGGATAGAAAGCTTGCATTGGTGGAGAACAGCGATTGAGGGGATGAGGTAGATGAGGTAGAAGTGGGTAGGGTTCAAATGGTGGGCGTTGGAGGCCATGTGAGAGATTCTGTTCCGAGTTCAATAGAAGCCATTGGAGGATTTGCAGCAGAGCAATGATGTGATGTAGTTTGTATTTTAAAAAGACTATATTTCATTGACTGAATCTTAAGTTAAGATCTTATCAATCTTAAGGTGCATACTGTTTTATGTAACACTAGAGGAAAGATTGCCGGCAATTACCCTTTGATGTGTCATCAGTTTTAAGAAGCACCCCCGTTTCAGAGATACCAGAATTACAAAAGATGTGAAGCGTGTACCTTAGAATTGGTGGGAACATGGGTTAACGATAGAGAATTACCATATCCTGCTCCCTGGGCTGGAATTGTAGCCATTAGAAATCTGTAACCTAGGCATTTGGTGAT